GGAGCTGACAGCTGCTGCTGGCTAAGGATATATTATATTGGTTTCAAAGTTACATGAGACAAATAAACATCATGTGCAACATTTGTTCTGTGATTCAAGCCTGAAAAGAAAAAATCCAAACTCTTTCTAGTAATTATATTTCCAAAAGACACTTACAACAGCTCTATCCTGCACCTCCAATACCTTTAAATCCCAATCCTGTCTATAGTAACCAAGATAGAAGAGTATAACCCTGTACATTCAACAATGGATCTTCATTTAAATTCACTCTTGTTATTCAGACTTATCTGATCCAGGATGTTAAGGTTACAATGCTAAACAACAAGAAGGGAAGGGAAGGGCTCTCTATCCCCTTTCTTCTGGAGTTACCCAAATCTCCAGTGTAGTGGGTAATAATATATGTGTGTGTGTGTGTGTGTGTGTGTGTGTGTGTGTGTGTGTGTGTGTAAAAAGTGTCATCATCACCATCACCATCATCATCATCATCTGGATAGCTGTAATTTCTATGGTTATTTGAGCAGAGATTTCTCCTACTTCCATTGTACTGAAAATCCCACAATGTTGGTGGCACAACCTGTAACCATCACAGCAAAGCATGAAGCCAAAGGCTAGTAAAAGTCAAATTAGAAAGTCAACGGCCTGTTCACCCACACTAAAAAAAAAACTCTATCAAGATGACATCTAGGCATTACAGACAATGAAAAATTGGGGAGAAACAGGGAAAGGGCCACTCTTGGCACACACTGTATACATTTTGTTTAAAAGGCAAGTATAATTTTCTATTTAGATTGTGGTGCTGACAAAGTCCTCAGGTTCAGACAGGGCTGTATCTCATGCTCAGATCCTTCCTTGGCTGTGTGTTTGTGTGTGTCTGTGTGTTGTTGTTGGTGGTGGTGGTTTTCAAGGGTTCAGGATGACAGTGATACATCGGTATTCAGGCAGAGGAGTTTGGGGAGAAATCTCTGGCATCCAAAAAGCCTCTCTCATCTGGTCAACATCCAGCAGGAGCCCCCCAAAATCTCGCCTCCCTCCAGCTCTCCCTTTTGGGCAAGGAATAGCCCCTTTCGCTCAAAAGCGCCCGGAACTTTAATGACTTTGACAGGCTCCAAGCTGCGATCTTCCCGCCTCGCCCCCTCCTGAGTGCCTTAAAATAACATCCGCGACAGAAAGAACAGAATAAACACACACACACACACACACACACACACAGACACATATATACACAC